TAAAATGTCATCATTTTACTTGCCAAAGGACTAAAATAAATCGGAAACAACACGTGTTGGAAAGAAATCAAGCATTCACCTAGAACACCACAGCATGCAGACTTCCGGCAGTCGGACTGTGTACAAGACACAACGGATGCTTACAACTTGTTATTAGCAATTTTTTAATGATAATTTGATATTTAACATATTAATTATAGTTTATATACAACGATGTAGCCAGCTCCTCTTTTGTTTTAGCGGCTATAATAATGTAAGTTGTTTTGTATAATTTATATCCAACTCATGACGTTTCCCTATTCAGTCATGATCATGGCATGGGCTGTTTGGTTATATATGTTAATGAAGGTATGGTAATTAGTAGATGAGAAATTGACCATGCAATCACAGAGCAGTATATTGTCCCCTATAGGGGTCTCTTAAATTGGTAGCAGCCCCGGGGCCCCTTCATCCGGGGAGGCTGCAGTGAACCACGGTTGTTTATGTGTACCCACCCACCATCCTCAGCTACATGCCAAGCTTCATATATGTATATTAGTTCTGCCAATTGTAATGTAGTACTTATCTTTAGTTGTTTCCCTGTATTTAGCAGCTGTTCCTTTTCTCATGATTGTATCTTTGTGCAATGTCATTTTTACATGTACCATTTATACTTGCCTGTGTAGGTGCTTCTCTGGAGACATTTTCAGAGTCTAGCTGCTTCTCTGGGATGCGTCTTTTCTTGTATCACAGGTGTCTAGCTACTCTCATCATGGCTTCTCTAGGGGACACGACTTCTGTCTTCACCCACAAACAAAATCATTAAGCCATCCAGCTCCTACCAAGAGTGACTTAAAAAAGGTCCCACTATGTGCCCGACAGAAACTAAACCTTTCCATCCCCACCAATGGTCTAATTAACAGTGACATTGAACTTTGTAACCCAAATATAATTGCACATTTACATATCACAGCGTATCATAATATCAAATATCCAAAAAAGATCAGTCATCTGGATTGAGAGATCATAAGAACCCTACCCCCATGGTATATTTTAAACAACAGTGAACAAGACCTTAGAAAATGTTTAGACCCTTATCACATGTCAACATATCTTTGTATCACCATGTCAAATTTCTGAAATATTACTGTTAACGTGGTTATTTACGCTGGGTGAAAATTGAAGGTTTTGAAGGTGATTTGAAGGTCAAAACCATACGCGCGGGGGTAATTTACGCGGTCGCGGTAGACCGACGTTTACTCTGCAGAGTTGTTTCCCTTGCTTTACAAAATGTATTCAGGTGAAAATGCTAGTAGCTACTGAGTACATGTTACTTATCCGTACCGACTGGTCATTGGACAGATGAAAATAAAGGTGAACTGTATTTATGTGTACGTGTGACATATTTTTTGTGTTCACTAGAAAACATTCGAATTTTGTCATTTGAGGAAGCATGTCGATCCTTAAATACTTAACAATTAGAAATATGTCAGAATGACATGAAAGTCACCCCTCATTCTGTATGATAATTTTCCGATAAATCATTGACCAAGCTACAACGGATATAACTTCACCTGTCAATCAAAATAGTAAACAATTACCAGGTGTAAATACATACATGCTGTTCAGGTAGCCATGGCAACACAGGGAATTAATAGGAAAGCATGTCGCAAATATAACTTTAGCGTTGACCGACACCTCGAATACGGGGAGATCTAAGCGCTGACACGGTCACCTGGCATGGGCAGAACAGGTAATTGGAATATAACGATGTTGTTTTCACAACAATAAGTTTCAGAAAAGATTCAATCTTATATACGGGTAAATCTTCTACAATGTTTTGTTATGTAATACTTTTCCAAGTAGTTTTCTGATCGTCTGCAAATCTGACTGAATCGGTCATCGATATCGGCAGAATGTGTACTGTACGCTTAAAGGCAGTCACTCCGACGAGGACCACCAATAGCCGAATTCACAAGACATGAAGAACACCAAACAATTGTGATATCAGCAATTCTCCTTCGAAAAGAAAAGATCGGAATGTATTTGGCTGTTTTGAACCAGTTGATATTTAATTTTCAAACTCAAACTTTTTTCATTATCGGTTCAATTCGCATGGATGTCATTTGTAAATTCCTGCCGGTTAAAAATATCACGCAAATTCAACTCTCTGCGGTACACAAACTCGCTAACTTAGCCACTTTACCCGTGTCGTTTTGACACATTCCTACGGACAAGATTTTACCCAAGAACGACATTTTAACCACGGAGTAATAAATCCGTTGCAATTCTTCGTTATGTTTCCCGATACGTGGTATTTATCAATTCACAACGTAACGTCTTGAAAAGTTGAGCCTACTTGACTCAAGTTTATTTATCCGATTCTATAGTATTATATGACTTAAACTTGCAACTTTTCGTAATTGTTAAATTGGCAATGCAATCGTGGATTATTCAACGAAGTTAAGCAGTTGTATTGCTGTTAGCATATATCAAAACATTTCCGAAAAATCCTCAAAAAAATTACGAGAAATGGTCGCAACCAAGGACTGGTTTTGGATTGTTCTTGCGTGTGTGTACATCCCTTTCTTGACACTTCATTTTCCCCTTAAAAAGGTGCGCACTATACGCAAATATATTAACGGTAGTCGTTGGTCAGACATAAAATATCTAAATCAGTCAAGAGCAATTTATAATACAACAGTTTACCCCTTCGGGAACCTTAAAGGTGCCTGATTCATACTCGGAACATCTTTAGGTTATATGTAATTCCTGTGGGGAATTTGGAACGCCTTAAGGTTTTATGCTATTCCTGTTTAAAAAGGAAATTGATATCTGAGTTATCCAAGAGCTTGTAATTACCGCCTGGTATATTCCGTCAGAAGCAAGTCGAAATCTGGGACTGAAACCAAAATTAATAGTCCCCACTGGGGTGACTAAAAAACGCCTACAAAGCTTGAGGGATTGCCAGATCCAGAACAAGCAGCCACACCAGAAAAGACACTTCTAGTTGAATTGCTTAATGAAATTGTTGAGATAGAGTATACAAAAAATCCAGGGTCAGGGAAAAAAGGAAAGGGGGGAGGGAGTCTGTGTGCATTATACCCCAGAACAGAAGGCCCAGATTGCAAAGTTTGCGATCTTCAATGGACCTGTTAAGGCAGCGAGACATTTAACGAAGATACTTGGGCACTCGGTGAATGAGTACTGTACGAACAATTAAAAAATCATATTTGCTTCAACGTAAAGTTGATAGAACTGACGATATCGACGAAGTGATCCCCAAAAAATGGGGACAGCCGACATTGCTGGACAGTGAATTACAGTGTATTAGACAAAACAGTATGTGAATACATCAGAGATTTGTGAGACGCCGGCGGTGTACTATTATTCAAAATTGATTTGACGAGAGAATGGGCTCTATCGGTTTTACAAAGATTGAACTTTACACAACGGAAGGCAACAAAAGATGTGAAACCACAGCCCAAAGTGTTCGCCAAAACAAAGCAGGACTATTTGAGTATAATCAACAAAGTGATCAAGGAAGAGCAGATACCAGCAGATCTCGTAATTAACAGGGACCAAACAGGTGAGTGTCATTTAGTCAAAACAAACACATTTTCCAAACAACAATGATTATAGTAACTTATTGCACGCAGTTAATGTCGCTTCCATGGTAACAGGGGTCTTCGCCGATGTACGAGTAGAGTAGAGTACGATGTAGAGTTTACCTGTAAGATTGAATTTATTCTAATAATTAAATATTTTATATTTACCTGTAGGTTTAAACATGATCCCAACTAGTGACTGGACGATTGAGGAGAAGGGTTCCAAGCAAGTAAAGGTGATCGGAATGGGTGACAAGCAACAAATAACTGCTCTCCTAGGTGCGACATTGTCCGGTTATTTATTGCCACCGCAGCTGATTTACACCGGGAAAACAGATTTGTGTCATTCGGAGGTAGATTTCCCAGATAGCTGGGACATTACCCACACGGAATCACACTGGAGTAATGAGGATTCCATGGTTCGCTATGTGGAGAACATTATCCTCCCGTATGTTGAAACTATAAGAGAGAACTTGCCCAATGCGAAGCATAATCAGAAGGCCCTCGCCATATGTTTTTAAAGCACATCGTTCAGAAAAAGTCCTTAAAATATTGAAAACCAATGGTATCTGTGTTGTATTTGTCCTCCCCTGCTGCACAGACAAACTCTAACCTCTGGACCAGACCATCAAGTAAATTCTGAAATGCAAATTCCAAGTGTGGTAATCTGAACAGATCGCTGCTAATCCCGGGAAGGTATCTGATATTTGTCTGAAAACGACAGTTGTCAAACCACTGCATGCCAAATGGGTAATAAAATGCCATACACTTGTCGGTGATGAAACTGAACTACTCAATATGGCATTTAGCTGTGTAGGGATCGTTGCACACAACTACTAGCTGTGTAGGGATCGTCGCACACGGCTACTAGCTGTGTAGGGATCGTCGCACACGGCTACTAGGTGTTTGTGTCCCGTACACACGTGTGTGATGTGTACTGGACCTCGATGCACCCAGGTTTATTGATGACTTTCTCTGCGCCTTTATATATTTTTTTCAAATTTGTTGTTCATTAAATCTTTGGTAACTAAATTGTGGATGGATGGATTGACAGACAGACAGACAGACAGACAGACAGATGGACACTATATCTTGCACCGATAAAAGTGCAGATACACCTGTCGAGGGTACGAGAACATCATTTCTTATCGGACGCAATGTATTGCTGTAAGTAACCTCTAGAAACTAGTGTGGATGAATGGACAGATGCACATGGTGATAATTATAGGACATTAACATTTCTGATGTGAGGCCCCAATAAGGACCTGAGCATGTCCTCAAAACTTGGTGTGCAAAAGGTCCTGAAGCTCCCTTCACAAAGCATCATAATAAAAGTTTTCCTGTAACAGAATTATATTGGACTTTGATGTTTATGAAGACTGTCTGTATAAAGAGAAATGTCATTACCTTGATTTTACGTCCTTAGTTCTTGGGTTGTACTTTTGTCCTTGTCCGTCTTGGGTAAACCTTTTGTTTTTGATTGTCTCGGATTATCTTGTCGTTTCTCCAGGTTCTCCGGTGATGGTCCTATTATTTGTCCTTGTGTTTCAGAGTCTGAGATGGTGCTGTTGCTACCTCATGGTCCCGGATTGTCCTCCTATCTTTGAGGTTCTTGTTGTTGATAGGCCTTTATGATCCTTTTATCCTTCTTGTCCTGGTAGGGTTCTCCTATGATGGTCCTTCGTAGGCCTCTTTGATTGGACCTTCAAAAGGTGAATAAATATACTGTTTATTAGGGCTTTTCACCAACTGGTGAAAAGACCTATTGTTTTTGTTAAATTTCTTCTTATTATTATTATTATTATTATTCCGTACTTTGTGGAATCTGTTTCTTATGATTGGTAAAAGATAGGTTTATAGTCTTTTAGGAATGTTGTAGGCAAAGGTCTGAAACTGATCAAGCAACATTTTGAAGTAGATTAAAAATCCAATATGGCCACCTTGACGTCATAGGTTAAAATCATTGAAACCGCTATAACTCGAAAACCGTTGATCGTACAGATTTTATGATGCATACTATTTGTAGATAATTTCCATATCTAACATTTTCTGATTACATGTTAATACAAAATAAGTTTTTGATGTATTTCACTGAAATTTTATATATATATATATCATCACCATTTAAAAAGTGGACAGCAATTAACACAAATAAAAAAAAAATTCTTTGGATGACCAGCTATTTATATTGAATCTAAATCCATAAAAGAACTCATTTTACCAACTCAAATTTTAAAGTATTATTGAATTTTAGTAGATAAGTGTATGAAGAATTAGCACACTCATAATATAAAACCATATTTACAAACTTCAACGAGGACAGAAAATTAGTAAAAGATTTAAAGAGCAAAAAGAATAAAATATAATATGCTTGCTTTCATTATGTAAACATGAATATATGCAACAAATTTTTCTTCACATTTGTAAGTCGAAGTATGTGCAGTTTGTATTTCTAAACATTACGAAGATGAGAATGACATGTTACCTTCATTGGTATATATAGATATAGAAAAATGCCCCTTTGATGGCAAAAAGAAACGAAATGCATCTATTGGAATGTGATTTTAACTGCAACTGGAAAATGGAAATGGAAAATACAATCAATATTTCGGACAGGTCTTAGCCCTTTTTCAGCAAATGCTCTTTTTATGCAATTATTTACCCTCCTCTGGACGCTGGCAGGCCATCCTATTCCGTCAGTCAGATCAGATGTACTAAACCCTAGTCAGACTTTCAAACGCAGGAGGTTCTGTTGCAAAAATAGATTTATTCTAGTTCAGCTGCACCTATCCGTCCAGTCACATGACAAGAACATTTTATCCCAGCACGGAAACGACCAATATGAAGCACTTGACTCAGTATGATTACATGTTCCCCTCAGGACTATCATGGAGGGGTTGCATGATATCGGATCCCCACATGTAACCATAAAGGTCCTTGTACCTCAATAATGTCGTTCGCCAGGATTAAAAACTTTGTTAAAGGAGTGAATAGTGCAGCTGAAATGTCATAAATCTATCCAGCTTCAGATACCCAGTATGCAAAATCATCCAACTAGAGCTCACTCAGACCACCCTTCTAGATATAGATATATCTGACCAGGGTTCTGTCCCTTTCAAGTGAACAGTCCTGTAAAGGAAAGAATGATATATTATACTCCCAGTGCAAAACTCACTAAAATATGAAGCATTAAATAAAGGTCAAAATCAGCATCCGCAATATGCATTCATTAGAGCAACCCTAGATACACAATTGATGCAAGTATAATCATCTTAGCACTTGTAGGAGGCAAATGGGGTAGTACGCTTCCAACATTGGTTACAGGTCGGCTGTACCTAATGTCCATCCTGTAAAAAAAAATATGTCTTTGATTATCTCCCTTGAAACATGACTTCAATCTTATCAGTCATGTACATATACACTAAATGTAGATTGAATTGATTAATTGGATTTAAATGTGGCATTATCAATCATTAATTTTTCAAGTATTTTAGTTCTCATAATATTATATATCAAAACAACATTTGACTAAAATCAAACAATCTTTTATATTATCAATATCATACATCAACAAAACTACAAACGAAATAAGTGATTCCACATTCTACATTTTACAAGTAGCTATTTCTCTGGTGAACAGTAAAGTATTCCAAATCATCATGCACCCATCAACAGTATCCAACAGAATGTGAGCACACTTTCTCTCGTGTTTCAATAAAACTAACTCCAGGACTATTTTGTTAAATGCAGGTAATTTTATGTACTTGATTAATCCGTGCTTTATAACTAACCTATCACGGTTAACATTAAGGTATCCGACGATACTACTAATATGGGTATTATTTTCAGGGATCAATCTAGGTTTTAGGGGAAATTACTCTTTTTTCAGATTTGGGGGAAATTAAAATTTTGATACAAGGCTCTAGCGTCATGAAGGTAAAAGATAAATGTTTTGTCCGACATACCTGTTCCGACATACCTGTGTGCAGTATATTTCAATTTTTAGACAATTTTATGCTTTAAATTGTAGAACTTTTGTTTAAATTATGTGGAGAAAATGTATATATGCAGTGTTATGCATTTTAACTGTTGAACTTTAAAGAAAACATATACATGTATAGGGGAAATACTATGAAGAAATAAACGCTATTTGCTTGTTGAAATGGGGGAATTTTGAAGCACACAGGGGGAATTTCAAAGAAAATGGGAATTTTCTTCTGTAGGGGAAACTACCCATAAAAGGTAGTGAATCAAGTCTAGATTGATGCCTGATTTTATCACATTTTTCTTTTACTTCTTATTTGTTTACCTTCACATTCAACTTTATCATTGTCAAAATCGTACTCGCTTTAGACAGTCATTATCACCCTTAAGAAAACCCAGTGGAGGGAGATCTCCCACACTTGACTCCTTAGAGGTTGGCAACCCGACTCCTATTGAAGTGGTGACCATATGAATGTCATTATCACACTTAAGAAAACCCAGTGGAGGGAGATCTCCCACACTGGACTCCTTAGAGGTTGGCAGCCCTGACTCCTATTGAAGTAGTGACCATATGTGGCAACCCTGACTCTTATTGAAGTAGTGACCATATGTGGCAACCCCGACTCATATTGAAGTAGTGACCATATATGGCAACCCCGACTCATATTGATGTTGTGACCATATGTGGCAACCCTGACTCCTATTAAAGTAGTGACCATATGTGGCAACCCTGATTCCTATTGAAGTAGTGACCATATGTGGCAACCCTGACTCCTATTGAAGTAGGGACCATATGAATGTCAAAGAAATAAGCTTTACATAGGTTCATTCTGATAACTTTAAAAGCTGTGTCACAAACATCAAACCAAAATCGTAGTAAAACGATCGATGATCGATTGTATAATCGGTTTATAATTTTTGGGACTGAATACCCAAATAAAGTGACAACACTACTGTTACATCAATTCACTCTACATTACAGTTCGTTCTTTTATAATGAATGAATATCAAGCAACTTTTATGCATTTTTATCAATCATATAGTATAAATTGTACATAACAATATGACTTTAAATCAATAAACATGGCAGATATTTAAATACTTTGATTTCAATGATGAACCGATTACAAGTACATTTGTGTGGATTCTGGAATTTGTAATCGATAATCAAAACAGGAAAGAGCAAACCGATCGATTTTCAATTATTATCAATAATCAGCCCATCACTGGTTACAGAAGAGCTATATTTGGACCTAAACTTATGTGTTCAGGAGTAATACATGTATTACACATTTTACAAGTTTAGATAAAATTTGAGTAAAATGCCATCCTGATCAATGGTGGCGATTTGTCGTCTCTCAAATCTTTTAATTATCTCCTTACGTCCCTGGTCAGATTTCTGACCCCTGGCTAGTTCACTGTGATTACAGTTCAGTCCCCCCCGTCCGATTGGTCAGTCCCTATGAGCTAGTGGTCACTTCGGCTCCGCTCCCAGCTGGTATTTAGGTGTTGGCGCCAAACTGTCCATTCTTTCTTTCGACACATTCGAGTCTTGTCACAATTTATGATAGACGAACATTACGAATCTACGATCAACGAATACGAGAGCCCAGGTATCCGGGCAAAAGAAGATGATTTAAATCGTAGTCTACCTGTGTAAATGGACAGGTTATCCACTGCCAAGTAATTCTGTGAATGGCGTATGAAACAAGAAATCAACCCCGAAAGGACTATAAAGCCATGAACGAAGGGGGGTCGCCAATGTATTCGTCTGGAGCAGATATGAGCTCTCAAACGTCGAACTTGGACAGTGACGATGATACGATAACAGAAGCAGTACTGGAGGCAAGCGTCCAAGATGACACCGATCTGTTACACAAGAGCGCAAACGACCGGGATGCGGAAGTGCGCGGTTTGAGGGACGAGTTGGAAAAGGCTAAAACCAGA